AAATTTCCCCTTGGGTTACTTTAATTTTTGGGCGGATATCACGTGAGGCGATACCACACATCTATTCATGGTATCGATGTCGATATCATATCCTGGGTTGTGATAAAAGGTGCGCACAGCAAGTCCCAACGTTCAGTTGTGCTTGTTCAGGTAGTAACAGTAGTTGTAGCTGTATCAATGGCAGCAGTTGCGGTAGTAACAGTAGTAGTAGCAGTAGCGGTAGCAAAATAGTAGCATCAATAGAAGTAATAGCAGTAGTATTAGTGGTGGTGTTGGTAGTGGCAGTTGTAGTAGTAGTAGTAGTCGTAGTAGTAGTAGCAGCAGCAGCAGCAGCAGCAGTTGCAGTAGATGTAACATAGTTTAGTAGTAGTAGTAGTAGTAGTAGTAGTAGTAGTAGTAGTAGTAGTAGTAGTAGTAGGAGTAGTAGACTAGGCAGCAGCATGAGTGGCATCATCATCATCAGCAGCAGTGGAACTGGCAGTAGTAGTAGTTAACAGAAATTGATAATTAATCAAATATTGGAAACTACCCCCCCCTAAGAAAAAACAAAGAACAAAACAAAACTAAGTAATACAAGAAGAAGAACGAAAGATGAGGGCAAATAAAATGTGAAACAGGAAAGATGAAAAATCTAAACTCTGTTTTCCTCCCCCTCTCTCTCTCTCTCTCTCTCTCTCTCTCTCTCTCTCTCTCTCTCTCTCTCTCTCTCTCCCAACCACGTCTCCCGCCTCTAATACATAACGTATATGTTACTTGTAGAATATCCTACTAATACGGACATAACATTGGTAATAATTATTGTAATCATTATTTTAAAAATGATGATAAACACCAGTAACAACTCATTAATGAACAGGTAAACTTCACAAGTCCGGAGGGTGACATCATATTTCTTCTTACCCTGTCTTCTCTCCAACTCATTTTCGCCCTGGTAATATTTATTTATTATGTTCACCGTGGGTCAGGAAAACAAATGAATTATCCGACCCCCCCCCCCCCTTCCCCCCGTGTTGTCTGATTTGCCTTTAGAATGCCCACTTCGTTAATTGAGTTGTACAAATACAAAAATGAAAATTGTCCTAAATTGATCCAAATCGGTTTGTGATTGTGTTTCATTAAAAAAAAAGAGCAGAAAATTTTTGTTCTGACTTATAAAATACAGGGAATAACACTTATTATTTCGAGATCTTATTTTCTACACCAAATGAAGACAGCTAAAGTGTACTATACCCGGCATGACTAAATAACGTTTATAGTAGGCTACATATTATGCACTATATTATATAACCTCTACTACTACCGTACTATTACTACTCTTTTTGGCCGCACTGGGAGTTAATCAATATACCCTGAAACGAAATCGGCACCGGACACTCAATATCGATACATTTCCAGCTCCGAGTAGAAATGGCTCTCTCTCCACTCTTTGCCGTTGCCGCTGTTACTCTAGCGTGCAGTTCGGGGCGCATCGCGAAACCTAAAGAAAGGGGCAGTGCATTTAGACAACGTGGGCGGTAAACACAAGACACACAGACGCTCGCTGGGTTCACAAACTTCACATTGCGCGCCTATAGAAAGATTACAAAGAGAAAACTGTTAGATCTGGGAAAGTGCCGGTTTAAGGTGTCGCTTACTGGATTATTTGTGACGGGGTGACTTGCATTCTCGTTCTCCAGGCTGCAATTGCTATCACGGTGTTCGCAACTGGGACTGGAGGTGTCGTTTGTCTGTCTAGCTCGCCGGAGGAGCAAACAGTGGACAAAGGCAAAGGTGAGTGGGAGAGCCCTTTCTATGACTAGACATTTAGACCTATTACAGTATAACAGTGTATCCTCTCCCCCACCCCCTCCACTCACACACTCATAATACACATGCACACACGAGTACTCATTAAGTCTTACACATTACACAATGACACGACTGCGGGTGCCCACACAAATACGCACTCACACACACACACACACACGCGCGCGCGCGTGCGCGCGCACACACACACACACACACA